TGTGGGCTTTTCACTTAGTCACAGATTGAAGCCTATTTCATATCATCGCTATTTCAGCAGAATCTATGGAGATTCCACTTTTACTTACAATGTGACTAAGAAATCACACTCCCATGTGCATGAATGTAAAGTTTCCTAATTTCAATTTCAAGTCTGCATTTTTTTATCTCCAAGGACACCATTTTCAAGTTCTCTGCTGCAGGCTCGATCATGCACCGCAAAACACCAAGACATCATTGACATAGATACAATACTTTCCCCACAGTAACCTTTCCACTGTTAGCCCCGTTAGCCTCTTGAAAGTGGCAGGTGTGTTACACAGGTCAAATGACATAGCACGAAATTTATAGATGCTATCTATCATTTAGGTCTCTTGTCATCATCCAACTCCACTTGCCAATATCCAGATGCCGAGTATAATATATTGAAACATGGGGCCCCTTCCAATGAATCCAGATATTTATCTGTTTGTGATAGTAGAAAGGCTTCAATGCTGATTGCCACATTCACCTACCTAAAATCAGTGTGAAAGCAGAGTGTAACTTCCTTCTTCCTGACAATCACTACTGAAGATGATTGTTGCTCTTTGAAAGTTCTCTTATCCCATCCATTAATGTTGATGTACCTTAATGCTAGCAACATCCTTAATAGTACATGAAATCTTCATCTGTGGTTGTTTAATTGGATTTGCGTCACTTATAGCTATTTCATTTCGTGTTACTGTTCTTTTTTACTTAATTGTTCATCTGTTCCCATAAATACATAAGCATATTCAGTCAACAAGTTACTGAGTTGCATTGAATCTAGATTATTTGCACCATCCTCAACTATTGGTCTCAGATTATTGGTATTCGGTTTTAGATGCAGCATGGCAGATGCAACCTTAGCATGACTGCTACACCTGGTTACTTTTACTTTGCTAACTTTAATGATGATCCTAGAAAATTGAAATTTAATAACTGATTAGTCATAAATGTACAACAACATCAATATAGACAACTGTCTAATATAATGTTACTCACTCTGGACAGAAAATAGCTTAATTCATGTGTAGGGCCTATAACCACATTACATAGCACCAATGCACTTGACTTCGCCCATAGCTAACCCTGGAATGTCATTTGTGTAGATGGGTGAACGATGGTTTCCTCTTCCCCATACACAAATAAAGTCTGGTCTGGCTGGTATCAAATAACTCTCACATAGAACATTGGCTCACCAGTTGCATTTGTGTAGATGGGTGAACGATGGTTTCTCTTCCCCATACACAAATAAAGTCTGGTCTGGCTGGTATCAAATAACTCTCACATAGAACATTGGCTCACCAGTTGCATAGACAAAACTGATTTGTAAGCTCCACAGCATATCTGTCCCAAAGACACCAATGCCACTTTCATTCTATGAGCAACTTCTTCTGGACCTAGTCTCAGAGAGTCACCTCTCCATTCCATCCACATCTAGTTTATCTCCAATCACAAGAATATATTATATAAAGTGGTGTGAGAGGTGATTTCACTTGGAATGCCTGATGTGCAGTGAGATCTACCAGTATTCTGGACGCTTCTGTATCAACAAGAAAACTCTCTCTCTCTCTCTCTAGCCCATGTAATCCAATAGTACATAACAAGACCTATCCAGTCATCAGAAAGCTATATTGACCACTAAACCATTTGATACAAGCTATTCATTGCAGTACTCTAAGTCACTCTTCAGGACTGACTTTAGGGCTGTTAGTTTCTCGGAGATGTAGTTTCATTGTTCAGCACCTGTTGTTGGCTCTCCTTATTTGGTGAGCTACTGGGCAAAACTAATAGCTTTGTCTACCTTGCTTCTCTGCAATATATAGGCAGATCACCCAAAAGTGACCCAATACTCCAATAGCAAAGCAAATGTTTTGCTTCTCCCTTTCAAGACAATGTCTGGGTTGAGGCATCGGCGGTACAAGCTGTGGTATGTAAGTCATTGGAGGACTAGGATTACCCTATCAATTTTCTGGATATTAGTGGTGGGATGTGTGTGTGGTTGGTTAGCTCTTGGCTGGGCTCAAGCCTGGCATGGGTGTTTGGGTAAGATGGTCTGCTCAAGATACAGCAACTGCAGGCTTCTTTCTCTCTTATGATCAGTTCAAACTTCAAACTTGATACTGTATTGCCACAGAAGCTGTCTCAGTAAGAAATGAGAAGACCTCTCACACTCAGATAGTGCATTATAGTTTCACTGGATAGCCTTTTCACAAATTTGTCAACGAGGATATCCTAATAATTTGCTAAAGCCATTGCTGTATTTTACAAATGGAAAAGATAATTGCATAGGTCCACAAGCTCTCTATGGTATCCTTTTTCTGAGCCTTGAACTCGGCCTGATAGGTTACTCAATTTTCCGGACATGAGATCAGGCCTCGTGCAGTGCACACTGGAGATCTGCAATTCAAAGCAGTAACCTTCCTTAATTTCTCCAGAAAATGGTCCGAATCTTCCCTCAATGCACCTCGAATGTTAGGTATATATCTGTTTTGTCCTACTCATTAGTACACATTGTCATAGCCAGAACCTTTTCTCTGTGACCTCTCAACTATCACTGGAACAAAATATCCTCAACATCATGGGTATGCTCAGGGACTTTGAATGTCATACAAGTTGTTAGGTATCTGCTTGTTTGTTAATTTCCGCTAAAAAATTCTTTCCCGCGTACTTCAGCGATACAAGTCCCTTCTTGATTAAAAGTAGTTTATTCTTTCTCGATACAATTTTGTAATACACAGTAATTTCACAATCAATACGTTTCTCGTCTCCTTACTTAACAACTCTTATAATACACGTTATAAATCACAGCGATTCACAAGCTCGATAACTTCACTCTAAGCAACGACTACAAAACACACAATTTATGGCTCAACGTCACTAATGTTCGGTTGACTCAATTATATATATATATATATGACTTTCTTTGCAAGACTTATATACTAAAAAAGAGGGCATCTCGATCAGACTAGAGATGCCAGGCAGATTCATAATCCGTTGAGAAACTCCAGCACGCATGCTCCCAGCGTCACCTGAATTCTCATGTCTTAGCACTTATTGGCTTCAGCTTTACATGGGGTTCATCTGCATCATCAGGAAATGTCTCATTATCGGTAGCAGTCACATTAGTTTGTTTGTTTTTTGAATTTCGCGCAAAGCTACACGATGGCTATCTGCGCTAGCAATCCCTAATTTAGCAGGTGTACCATCAGGACAGACCATGTTGCGTTACGCTGGTTAAGATCATTAAAGAACCCAGAGGAACAACTGGCACGTTGGATTGGAAAGATAGACCAGTATAATTATGATATTGAATATAGAGAAGGAAAATCTCATGGAAATGCCGAGGGACTGAGCCAAAGACCCTGCAAATATGACTGCAGACATTGCT